AGGTGCTAGTTTCAAATCCTTTTTAGTCTGAAATCTGTATGCTAGATATTGAGTAAGGTGGTTTTATTGTTTTTTGTCACTTTGAATAATATTTCTGTTCATGTTAAAAACAAAATCAACTCTCTGTATAAATATATCAGGTGACCGTTCAGGCCCATGGGCCTCTTGTTTTAACTAAATTTGGTTTAGAGCACCCTTAGGCCACAGGCATTTAATTTTGTATAAACAGTGGGTGTGGCCCTCCTGGGGGCAGAGGGGCGGGGCCCAATAGGGGAAATAGAGGTAAAACCTTTACAATGCTTCTTCTACTATAGGGATAAAGGGAATAAATTTTATGCTAATTTGGTCTTGAACATCTTTTGGCCAAGATGACTCAATTTGTATAAACGATAGGTGTGGCATCTTTGGGTGCAGGGGGTCGGGGCTCAAAAGGGGAATTTGAGGTTAGTATTGAAAACCCGTCACCTTCTGTACTATTTGAGGGATTTATCCAAATTTGGCCTGGAGTATCCTTTGTCAAAGGGGGCTTAATTTTGTATAAACTGAGGGTGTTGCCTCTTTTATTGCAGAGGCCTAGGGGTGGGGCAAAAAATGGGAATTTGATGTTAAAATCAAATGGCGTCCGTCGTCCATCTGTCAACTTTTCCTTTAAAACACTACCTACTTGTCCTGAACAGCCCAGTAGATTTTAACTAAATTTGGTCTAGAGCACCCTTAGTCCAAGGGCATTCAATTTTGTTTAAACAGTGGGAGTGGCCCTCCTGGGGGCAGAGGGATGGGGTCCAATAGGGGAAATAGAGGTAAAACCTTTAAAATCCTTCTTCTACTATAGGGATAAAGGGATTTTATCCTAATTTGGTCTTGAGCATCTTTGGGCCAAGATGACTCAATTTGTATAAATGATAGGTGTGGCTTCTTTGGGTGCAGGGGGTGGGGCTCAAAAGGGGAATTTAAGGTTTCAAACTTTAAAATCTGTCTCCTTCTGTGCCATTGGAGGGATTTTATAACAAGAGGCCCATGGGCCTTAACGGTCACCTGATATATTTATACAGAGAGTTGATTTTGTTTTTAACATGAACAGAAATATTATTCAAAGTGACAAAAAACAATAAAACCACCTTACTCAATATCTAGCATACAGATTTCAGACTAAAAAGGATTTGAAACTAGCACCTCTGATTCTTAACAAGGAAAATGAAGAAATTTTAGCACACTGACTCCTTTGAGCCCCACCCTACAGCCCTTGGGGGTAGGGCTGGCTCAAAATTTTCAAAGTATCAAACTGTCAATTCAAGGTTATAATTCCAATCAAGTTATTAACATGTA